TCTGGCTAGATATTTTCAGCAACATTCATCCCCCTTTTTTTATTCCTGTCTTTTCCCTTTAACACCTCAATCCTTCCCCCCTAATTCTACTCTTTCAAGAGTGCAGTTTCCGGGGCCCCTTTTCTATCCTCATAGGGAAGGGGTTTTTGATACATGGATCAACTTTGTCATCCTCCTTTGTACATTTTCCAAAAATTTATATCCATTTTGTAATACGGTGACCAAAACTGTGCAGCAAACTAAATGAGGGCCAACCAAGGATGTATAGAGTTGAAAAACAAAACCTGGGACTCCATTATTAATCTTTCTTTATAGAACCAAGGATTCATTAGCTTATTTGCGAAAACATTTTGCACTGTTGCTTGGTTTCAGATTACGCTAACCAGAACTCCTAAAAATTTTTCGCAACCGTAAAAATTTAAAACTACATTATTTTTTTATATGTGGCTGGTTATTGTCCTGCCAACATTTTGAAATTTTTCATTTTCTATATTTAAAATGCACCGCCACTTCTCCGCCACTGCATCACAAAAGACATAAAATTTTTTCCTAGCATTTCTTTTTTTTTAAGAAATTTTTTAAGGGCCGCAAAAATTTTGTATTTTTGGTTTAAAAAAAAAATTAAAGTAACTTCCCAACCCTTTTGGATTCTACGAACCTTCATATTTTTTAAATATTTTAAAAAATTACCGGGGGTGCAGTACTTTTTAGGGTGGAGTAGCGGGGGAACAAAAGTTTTCCCAAGGGGGGGGGTAGGGGGACATTTTTGGGAGGGGGCAGTGGGGACAGTTTTTGGGGGGGGCAGTGGGGGGCAACAGTTTTTAAAACGGGTATGGGGGTACAACAAGTTTTCGAGGGGGCGTGGGGCACAACATTTTTGAGAGGGGGCAAGGGGGTACAACAGTTTTCAATGGGGGAGTGGGGGGCCCTGTTTGAAGGGGCAGTGGGGGTACAACATGTTTTTTAGAGGGGGCAGTGGGGGCACAAAATTTTGAAGGGGGCTGGGGGGGACAACATGTTTTCAAGGGGTGTGGGGGGGACATGTTTGAAGGGGCAGTGGGGGTACAACATGTTTTGAGACGGGGGGGTGGGGGCCAACATGTTTTCAGATGGGGTAGTGGGGGCACATGTTTTGAGAGGGGGCAGTGGGGGTACAACATGTTTCGTGTGGGGGTTACACAGAGGTTTCCACTACTGAAGAGTAATGGCGAGGCAGTCAGCGTCGCTTCATGATCCACCAGGGAGGAGGTGGAGGAAGAGCAGCAGAAGGCAGAAGAGGAAGTTGGAGAGTAGAGGAAGAAGTTGGGGAGTGGAGGAAGAGGAACAGGAAGAAGAGGAGGAAGAGGCTGATGAGTAGAGATGCAATACTCAGGATTCTCACGCATGGTCCTCAAGTTGGCACTCTCATGGGTCTTCAGAGACGGCTATGGCTCTCTCTCTTGCTATGGCCTCTTGTGCTTCATGGTCCCTCGTGTTTCCTCAAGGGACTTAAAGGTGTACGTTAAGTCTTTAATGGGCTGATGTGGTCTAACGTCAGCCGTAGAGTGGTCCGTCGTGTTGCCTGGTGGTCCGTCGTTTAATTTCGGGATCCACGATTTCTGGTCACGGTCTACGATAATTGATCGCGATCTACGATAACTGGTCGCGATCTACGATAACTGGTCGCGGTCTACGATAACTGGTCGCTGTTTACGATAACTGGCCGCTGTCTACGATGGTCTTGTACAAAGTGACGCAGTCTTTCATACACAACTAATTAACAAATAGGCAAGGAAAAGTGAGCAAACGTTTTCATGCTTATCAGACCATCGTCATAACACTCGTGACTTTATAATGGTCCAGGACGGACCATCATGGTCCAGAATGGACTATCACGTCCAGAACGAACTGTCAAGTCACCGAGTTCTCACTGCATTTTTTATAAGTTGTACCAATTATGGTTTCCTACCTATTTGTTACCCTACATAATTTGTCGAACCACCACCACACACCACCACCACCACCACCACCACCACCACCCACCTTACCCCCCACCACCCCCCACCACCACCACCACCACCACCATACACCACCATCCACCACACCACCACCACCACCACCACACACCACCCACCACCACCACCACCACCACACCACCACCACCACCACCACCACCACACCACCATCACCACCACCACCACCTACCACCACCACCACCACCCACACCACACCACCACCACCACACCACCACCACCACCACCACCACCACCACCACCATCACCACCACCACCACCACCACCCCCACCACCACCACCACCACCCACCACCACCACCATCACCACCACCACCACCATTATCACCACCACCATCACCACCACCACCACACCACTCACCACACCCCAAACCACCACCACCACCATCACCCACACCATCACCACCACACCACCCCCCCACCATCACCACCATCACCACCACCACCACCACACACCACACCACCACCACCACACCACCACCACCACCATCACCACCAATCACCACCACCACCACCACCACCACCACCACCATCACCACCACCACCACCACCACCACCACCATCACCACCACCATCACCACCACCCATCATCCCCCACCACCACCTCCCTCACCACCACCACCACCACCATCACCACCACCACCATCACCACCACCACACCACCACCACCACACCACCTCACCACCCCACACCACCACACACACCACCACTACCACCACTCACCACCACCCACCACCACTCACCACCACCACCATCACACCAACACCACCATCACCACCACCACCATCCACCACCACCACCACCACCCCCCCACACCCCCTCACCACCACCACCACCATCACCACCACCATCACCACCACCAACCACCACCACCCCACCACCACCACCACCATCACCACTCCACCACCACCACACCATCACCACCACCACCACACACCACCCATCCACCACCACCATCACCACCATCACCACCACACACCACCACCACCACCACCACCACCATCACCACCATCACCACACCACCACCACCATCACACCACCATCACCACCACCACTCACCACACCACTACCACCACCACCATCACCACCACCACCACACCACCACCATCACCACCACCACCACACCACCACCACCACACCATCACACCACCACCATCACACACCACCATCACCACCACCACCATCACCACCACCACCCATCACCACCACCACCACCACCATCACCACCACCACCACACCATCCACCACCATCACCACCACCACCATCCACACACTCACACCCCACCATCACCACCACCATAACACCACCATCACCACCACCACCACCATCACCACCACCACCATCACCACACACCACCATCACCACCACCACCACCCACCCACACCCACCTCCACCACCACCATCACCACCACCACCACCAACACCACCACCATCACCACCACACACCACTCACCATCCCATACACCATCACCACCACCACACCACCACACACTCATCACCACCACCACATCACATCACCACCACCTCATCGCCACCACCACCATCACCACATCACCACCACATGCACCACACACCACCACCACCACACCACCCACCACCATCACCACACCACCACACCACCACACCTCACCACCACCATCACCACCACCACCCCCACCACCACCACTACCACACCACCATCACCACCATCACCACTACCACCACCCATCACCACCACCACCATCACCCAAACACCACCCTCAACCACCACCACCATCACCACCACCACCCACCACCACCATCCACCACACACCACCACCACCCACCTCCACCTCCCCACCCACCACCACCCCACCATCCACACCAAAGACCCGGTCAAGACCACCACCATTAAGGGGACTATCGAGCCTTCACCACCACACCACACCACCACGTCCACACCCATCACACAACGAACCTCACCTACCCACAATCATCCGTCTACACAATCATTCCACACCACCACCACTCTACCTCGACCTACCACCATCACCACACACCACCACACACCACCACCACCACCCACCAATCACCACCATCACCATACCACCATCACCACTACACCCATCACCACCACCACCACCAATCACATCTCACCACACACCATCACCTACCACCACCATCACCACCACCACCACCACCATCACCACCACCATCACCACCACCCACCATCACCACCACCATCACCACCACACCACCACCACACACCACCATCACCCCACCCACACCCCACCACCATCACCACCACCACCATCACCACCACCATCACACCACCACCATCACCATCCACCACCACCATCCAATCACCACCTCACCACCATCACCACCACCATCATCACCCACCACCATCACCATCATCACCACCACCACCACCTCCATCACCACCACCACCACCACCATCCCACCAACGTGACTGGTCAAAGACCAGGCCACGATTAAGGGGACGGTGGATCGAGCCTTCATCACTACTTGCACTGACGCGAGCCACACAGGTGCACAGCATCAGTCACAATGTGGTGTGGAACTTGCATTATGTCGTCGTCTTCAAGTGATCGTCGTTTCTTATCAAATGCTTCCATAGCCTGTCGTGTCACAGGCTTCTTTATCCTGCTGTAGTCTCTCATGTCATTGCATTCCATAGGTTGTAATAGTCTGCCATGTCACAGCCTTTTATACCCTGCTATAAGCCTATCATATCCTGCCTGTGTTGATCGTGATAGGTTAGGTAAGGTTTGTCAGGAAACAGGACAAGTGTTTCCTGACGCGGGTCTTAGACGTGATAGATCCAGTTATAAGCTTAACATATCCTGCCTCAGACTATCCCAGGTCTCGTGACTCCGCAGCAGGTTGAAGAAAAAGTGAGTCACAGAAGGAGAAAGAAGAAGATTTGGGAGAGAGAGAGAGAAAGAGAGAGAGTACTAGTAGGCTGTAGCTGCAGGCTGGGTGGGTTGGTAGGAGGCTCTCAGATTGGCTGGGCAGTGCACGGCGTGAGGACGCAGCGTTGTGTCTCTCCCTGTCTCCCTCTCTCTCTCTCTCACTCCCTCCCACAACACACTCCCTCACAAAACGCTACCGGCAACACAGTGTGATTTTCCTGCCTTGTCAGCTAACTGAGAAAAATATAATCGTTCAGTCATGTCTTACGTTAGTATTATTAATCTTTGTCTGAAAACAATTAATGTTTTGTTTTGACGCATAATTTTCGACCATTTTTTTTTTTTTGAGTGAAATACCGAGTAAATATATTTTCTGTGAATTAGTACTGAAAACGCTTACAATGAAAAAAATATATAGATTTGTGAAGTGAGATGTGAAATTTGATGTGTTGGATTAATGAATAAAAAGTTTACCTAATTCACAAATAATCAAGGAATATATATTATATATATATATATATATATATATATATATATATATATATATATATATATATATATATATATATATATATATATATATATATATATATATATATTGGACACTTGTCAGTGTTTGAGTAAATTCATAGGAAATAAACACGAAAATTTTAGGAACTGTGTATTTTGATCCTCACCTGAGATCCTTTTCAGGAGATACAGAAATGAGAGAACATGACTTTATGTGGTACATTAAGTTATGCACTTGACTAAGAAAGTTCTTTAGAAATCTTCATAAATAATGTGTTTGATCTCTATTACATACTGGTAATAGATGAGATGCTTTATTCAAGGTTGTGGTTAAGTGAGATGCTGGAATAAACTATCTTAAGATATATTTTAAAACTCCGTCTGGCATCCACTGACCCTGGAAATATTATAACTAAGGAAGGAGTCGATGCGTGCTGATGCTATTTTTTTTTTTTTTTTGTAGCTGCTTCCTGTTTTGTGTGATGGTGGCTCTGGTCCAGTTAGTAACACGATTTTCGTTTTTTTCTTCAAATATAACTGAACTTTCCTGTGTCAATATGATTTTTTTTCATGTTCGTTGACTCGTGTTTGCAGATCTCTTCCTGTCTGGCCTATGTATTTTTGTTCACGGTACTTGCAGGGTATTTGGTAGACCTGGCATGAGTGAGGATACTGTGTTCTTGTGTTTTGTGAAGAGGTTGCTGCTGAGTTGATTTGACTAAAACTGGGTGATGTTGCTTATATTCTGGAGTTTCCTCTGTTTGTCTTGATTGAAAGAGGTTTGTACGTTGGTCATTATAGGTCATAGTTTTAAGAGACCGAATTTTAGTAGTTTGTGGTAACTTGGGTAAGATCTTTCTGAATAAACTGTTTATGGTATCCTAGTGTCAAGAACTGAATCCTGATAATGTCCATTCCTTGGTCGATTTCAGACGAACTGCAATCAAAACAAACCCAGTTTTATTCAAATCAATTTGGCAACAACCTCTTCACAAAACACAAGAACACAGTAACTTCAGTCAGGCCAAAGTCTAATAAATGCCTTGTAAGAACTGTGGAAAAATCCATAGGCCAGACAGGATGATTTGCAAACACGAGTCAACGAACATAAAAAAATCATATTGACACAGGAAAGTTCAGTTATATTTGAAGACAAAAAACGAAAATCGTGTTACTAACTGGACCAGAGCCACCATCACATATAAAATAGGAAGCAGCTACAAAAGAAAAATAATAGCATCAGCACGCATCGACTCCTTCCTTAGTTATAATATTTCCAGGGTCAGTGGATGCCAGACGGAGTTTTAAAATATATCTTAAGATAGTTTATTCCAGCATCTCACTTTAACCACAACCTTGAATAAAGCATCTCATCTATTACCAGTATGTAATAGAGATCAAACACATTATTTATGAAGATTACTAAGCAACTTCCTCACTCAGGTACATAACTTAATGTACCACATAAAGTCATGTTTTCTCATTTCTGTATCTCCTGAAGAGGATCTCTGGTGAGGATCAAAATACACAGTTCCTTAAAATTTCCGTCTTTATCTTCTATGGTTTTACTTTATATATATATATATATATATATATATATATATATATATATATATATATATAATATATATATATATATATATATATATATATATATATATAATATATATATAGTTACAAGATAAGTCAGTCTGAATGACTGTCAATGGATAAAGAAAAGAATGGCCTGGGATTCGAACCATGGTCCTGGCATGTATCAGGTCCAGCGATCTATCACTTAGATACGAAGCTTTAATAGGAAGATTTTACAGGAAACACTTGTGTGGCGCCAGCTCTGACCATAATGTCCCTATGATCCCAGAAGCTTTCATAGTACATCTGTTATCTCCCCTCGAAGCCATATATCCAGAGTTTATGAGCTGGGGAAACCTGTGGCAGGTTCTTTGGGAAAGTAACTGGGGAAAATCTGAGGAATTTCTAGGAGGTATCTAGGGAAATTCGAAGGGAAATTCTGGAAGATATCTAGGAAAATCTTCTCTATATTGAGGCACATCTGGGAAATATCTGGGAAACATTTTTGGGGAATCTGGGGGACAATGGGAAAAATACGAAGGACGTTTGAGGAAATCCTGAGAAATATTCAACGAATATGAAATGAAAATTTATAGAATATTTGTGAGATATAAAATGGATATTAGCAGAATATACGTAATGACTTCAAGACAAAGAGAAGGGGGATACTGGAAGCATTTGCAGCATATGAGAGACATCGTGGGACATCATTCGGGCTAACCACAGTTTGATCTGGCTAGCCACCGGATTGGAGAACGCATGTACTTGGTCTCACTCTAGGCTAAGACAGCCAAGCCCTGGGCTTCCCGCCCACCATAACACTGGAAGACTTCCAGGTGTTACCTCAGAATACCTAAAGGATATTTGATGGACATCTGGGGACTCTCTGAAAGATATCATGAGACTGATCCGAGTAGTATTAACATTATAAAAATGAGCATCAATAGTGGTAGTAATAGTAGTAGTAGTAGTAGTGGCAGCAATGTCAGTAGAAGCAGCATCAAAAGTTGTTATAGTAGTAGCAGGAGGAGCAACAGTATTAGCACTAACAGCAGTAGAAAAAATAAATGAAGGCTCACACACTCTTTTATTTTTCCCCGTTTATTACACTGACAGCTAGCCTACGCCCGGGTAGGGCGTCCGTGCTGTACCTGAGTCCTGTCTAGCGTACGTACTGGCAGTACCCACACGCCTCTACTTCACTCCTAAGATTTTTTAATTTCTCGTTCACCGTTTCCTCAACTGCAAAGATCCTGACGAAGTTCTGACAGTAGCGAAAAAGATTTTGACATACACACATACATACATACATACAATCATACATACATACATACATACATACATACATACATACATACATACATACATACATACATATATACATACATACATATATACATACATATATACATACATATATACATGCATATATACATACATACATACATACATACATACATACATACATACATACATACATACATACATACACATGTATACATATATAACTTGGACACTACTGAGCTGCTAATTAGTGGTGGGAAATTGAGGGTGAACAGTGAGGATGTCTTCAAGCACTCTGGTGTACATGAAGTGTTTACAGTTCCAAATACCATTCCACCTGGTCTAAAGTCACCGACAACTAGACACTCAACTATGCACTGGTAATGGTCGTGTGCCTCCTCACTTTTCACAGAACTTACATGCGGAATAAGCCGAGTCGAGAGGCTTACCTGCAGTAATCGCATTCATCTTCCACAGGAAACTGTTATCCAACTTGACTCTGGCAATCACTCTGTCGCATAATCTGGTGAACGTTTTATGCTGCCCATACCCATGGCTTTCTGATCGGAACAGATCACTGTGTCTGATACTAGTGCTCTTAGGTATCTAGGTATCTGTGCTTGTTGCGTCTGCTAGCGTTGATATCTTTCAACAAGATACCCAATTCTAGATCAGTTTCTTGCCTGTCACAAGAGGATCTAGCTTCATTATCAGTGTCTTCATGATAGCTGATCCCTCCTGTGTGGTAGGGTATTCGGATGACTGAGGCACGGAAGTTTTTGTTCTAAACCCTATTTAGATTATTCTTAATGTATGTTATGATGTTCTTGGCACCTATTTTATAGACAGGACTCTCTATTGCTTGAAGAGAAGACTTGGAGTCACAGAAGATTACCGCTTTTGAGTTTTTACGTTGTTTACGAGCTTCAATGCAGCTAGCTAGCTATTCTGTATATTTTACAGGCTCTCTGCAGTTCGGTTTGTAGCCTGGCGAACTGAGCCATCATAAGAGCATAGTACCCACTGGGCAGCAAGGTATCTACATGTGAAGCAATTGTTTCTTGCAATGTTCTCTTAACGAGGAGTGAATTCTCATTGTTCTTAGTGACAGACGTGTATGATATCGGTACAGTTGGTAGTGATAGGGAGGGATGTTGTTGGCGGGTGTAATGAATTTAGAAAGGATGTTCAGTTTGATTAGATTACTCACGTTTGTCTACAGCCAGATGTTGTATAGATATTGATCTGGTAAGTTATTGACACTGTTTGACATGGGTATGAACCAGCACATCCCTGAGTTGTGCTGACGATGTCGCATCTTTCATGATCCTATCACGCAGGTTTGTGTTCAATTCTTTCGTATAGAGCAGTAAGCTCCAATTCTTCCCTCGTGTTTATAATCTTAATGCACATTAGAGCACTGGGAATTATCCTTATGGCCTTATTCTGAATTTTCTTCAAGTTTGTTAAGGACAACAGGCTGACAACAGGCGGACAACAGGCGGACAGCAGGCTGACAGCAGGCGGACAGCAGGCTGACAGCTAATAAAGAGTAGATCATGGTAATCAGTGAGAGATCTAACGAACATCACATGGGACAATCTCACGTATTCGTATTTAACATGCGTGCTAGTGAATTACCTGCCCAGCATGGGCCAGTAGGCCTACCGTAGTGCTTCTCAATTCTTACATTTTTAAAGCTTGAAAAAGAGAGACTTATTCATCACAACATCTCAATCTATGGATTCATTCATAGATTATTACATGGGTTATTTTATACGAAATAATTTATAGAATAATTCGGAGATTACTTCATGATTCATTCCATGTATTATTTCATGGATTAGTTTATTATATCACTAATTAGCTTATGTATTATCTAATGATGTAAAAAATCATCGTTGCAAAAAATCACTGAGAATTCAGGGTTAATTAGTATTTGAAACCAATGATTATTTGTGAATTTGGGGTCCAATGTGTTTCTCATTAGTTGTTGATATTTTCTGTGCTATTATTTTGCTCTTATTTTCCTACTAATGTAATTTAAATCGAACTATTTATGTGTACAAATCGAATTCGATCTAATCTGAATGTGAACCAATGAAATCTGCTTCCCTCTAAATGTGTTCCACTGGAATTTGATTCAAACTGAATGTGTTATAATGGAATTGGATCCAAACTTAATATGATATAATGGAATTCGATCCAAACTGTCTGTGTACATATTAATATTGATCCAATCTACATGTGAACAAATGAAAAACTGTTCTGATCTAAATGCGTGTCAATGGAACTCTATCCTGCGTGTGTCTACCAAATGAATACTTCTCTGGGCAATCTCGCTCCAAAATGTTCATTCCATCTTTCGGTAATGAGTTGCGTCTACACGCACACATACACACACATACACACACAAACCTTCGCTTGTTCCGGGATACTCACGACCGATGGAACGTGATTTTGAGTGCGTGTGCTTGCGACACTGATGACGTAATAGCGCGTGAGTATGCGGGAAGGAGCCGACAAGCACGTGGCAACCATGTCCAGGAGGTTTCTCTTCTTCTGGAAGACCAAGGCCAGGACCAAGAAGAAGACCGAAATAGAAGACTTACCGGTGAGTAGACTACATTCCTGTGGCATGAGTAGACCTACATTCCCGTGACGTGAGCAGACCTACTTTCCTGTGACGTGAATAGACTACATTCCCGTGACGTGAGTAGGCTACATTCCCGTGACGTGAGTAGACTACATTCTCCTAACGTGAGTAGATTACATTCCCGTGACGTGAGTAGACCTACATACCTGTGACGTGAGTAGACCCACATTCCTGTGACGTGAGTAGACCTACATTCCTGTGACGTGAGTAGACTACATTCCCGTGACGTGAGTAGACTTCATTCTCCTAACTTGAGTAAACTACATTCCCATGACGGTTTTGTATCTTCAAGCTGGTGAATGGCTCTTGATTCAGGGAATTGGATCTACCCTTCCTTTCCTGGGATCAAAGCTGAATAATCCTCCCCCCTCCCTCTGACCCACCCTACTCGCCCAGGAGACGCCCGATTCTTACAGGTTCAGTATTCTTTTTCTGATATAATTATAGCGTGGTGTTGGTATAATAGTCTTGTTGTTTCTCTGGATGAGTTGAGGAACACAAGGAATTATGTTATTATCTATCAGCTCGTCTTATAAACCTGGGTAATACATACCGAGAAATTGGTGAGCAAACACAAGGACATATTCATTGGAAAACGTTTCGGTCCTGGGACCTGCATCACTTCCCAGGACCGAAACGTTTTTTAATAAATGTCCTAGTGTTTGTTCACGTGACTTTGTTTTAAATCCACAGTTCATAATGTTTGCTTGGTTAATGGGGCTTAAAACCTATCATCTACACGAGGGTCATTAAGGCTACGTGTGACGTGCTTCACACTAATACTCACTTTAATAATTAAAATAGGGATTATACTCTCAGCATATACACGGAGAGAGATATATACACACCGTGAGGTGCGTATATACACACCGTGAGGTGCATATATACACACCGTGAGGTGCATATATACACACCGTGAGGTGCATATATACACACCGTGAGGTGCATATATACACACCGTGAGGTACGTATATCCTCTGCGCGAGTATCCCAACTCCAAATACCATTTTTTTCTGTGCTGTAGAAATTTAATTTGTTGACTTCCGTAGGTAATTAATGACTGATACCCAGTACTGGCACACCACTGGTGGGTTAGACTCATACTCAGTACTGGTATACCAATGGTTGGTTAGAATGATGCCCGGTACTGGTGCACCAGTGGTGGGCTAGACTCATACCCAGTACTGGTACACCAGTGGTGGCTTAATGACTGAGCTGGTTATGGTTTGACTTAGAGGCACGTCAGGAGACATTGGATCTGCAATGTCGTCAAAGCCACTAGCCTTCAGTTATAACAAATTTCGACAAAATGGAAAATATCCCAACAATCTGCGCCGAAAAAAAGACCCCACAATAGTCATCACTGGTTCAGTTATTCGACCACAGCCTCCCACCCCACAGTAACCCCTCACGACAGTCACCCCTCCCCCCTCACCGCAGTCACCACACCATAACATGCCCCACCACACTCACTCCAATACTGTCACTACATCAGCCACTCAAACTGTTAATCTAACACAGTCACCCCAACACAGTCACACCAACACAGTCACACCAACACAGCCACACCAACAGTCACACCAACACAGTCACACAACACAGTCACACCAACACAGTCACACCAACACAGTCACACCAACACACCACACCAACACAGTCACACCAACACAGCCACACCAACAGTCACACCAACACAGTCACACCAACACAGTCCACACTAACACAGTCACACCAACACAGTCACACCAACACAGTCAAACCAACACAACCACACCAACACAGTCACACCAACACAGTCACACCAACACAGTCACCCAACACAGTCACACCAACACAGTCAAAACCAACACAACCACACCAACACAGTCACACCAACACAGTCACACCAACACAGACACACCAACACAGCCACACCAACACAGCCACACCAACACAGCCACACCAACACAGTCAAACCAACACAACCACACCAACACAGTCACACCAACACAGTCACACCAACACAGACACACCAACACAGCCACACCAACACAGCCACACCAACACAGTCACACAAACACAGTCACACCAACACAGTCACACCAACACAGTCAAACCAACACAACCACACCAACACAACCACACCAACACAGTCACACCAACACAGTCACACCAACACAGTCACACCAACACAGTCACACCAACACAGTCACACCAACACAGTCAAAACCAACACAAACCACACCAACACAGTCACACCAACACAGTCACACCAACACAGACACACAACACAGCCACACCAACACAGCCACACCAACACAGTCAAACCAACACAACACACACAACACAGTCACACCAACACAGTCACACCAACACAGTCAAACCAACACAACCACACCAACACAACCACACCAACACAGTCACACCAACACAGTCACACCAACACAGTCACACCAACACAACCACACCAACACAGTCACACCAACACAGTCACACCAACACAACCACACCAACACAGTCACACCAACACAGCCACACCAACACAGCCACACCAACACACCACACACCAACAACACAGTCACACCAAACAGTCACACCAACACAGCCACACCAACACAGTCACACCAACACAGTCACACCAACACAGCCACACCAACACAGCCACACCAACACAGCCACACCAACACAGCCACACCAACAGTCACACCAACACAGTCACACCAAACACAACACACCAACACAGTCACACCAACACAGCCACACCAACACAGTCACACCAACACAGCCACACCAACACAGTCACACCAACACAGTCACACCAACACAGCCACACCAACACAGTCACACCAACACAGCACACCAACACAGCCACACCAACACAGCCACACCAACACAGCCCACCAACACAGCCACACCAACACAATCACACCAACACAGTCACACCAACACAGTCACACCAACACAGCCACACCAACACAGCCACACCAACACAGCCACACCAACACAACCACACCAACACAGCCACACCAACACAGTCACACCAACACAGCCACACCAACACAGCCACACCAACACAGCCACACCAACACAGCCACACCAACACAGCCACACCAACACAGTCACACCAACACAATCACACCAACACAGTCAAACCAACACAACACACCAACACGCCACACCAACACAGCCACACCAACACAGCCACACCAACACAGTCACACCAACACAGCCACACCAACACAGCCACACCAACACAATCACACCAACACAGCCACACCAACACAGTCACACCAACACAGCCACACCAACACAGTCACACCAACACAGTCACACCAACACAGCCACACCAACACAGCCACACCAACACAATCACACCAACACAGCCACACCAACACAATCACAACCAACACAGCCACACCAACACAGTCACACCAACACAATCACACCAACACAGTCAAACCAACAACACCACACCAACACAGCCACACCAACACAGCCACACCAACACAGCCACACCAACACAGTCACAACCAACACAGCCACACCAACACAGCCACACCAACACAGACACATCAACCAAATAACTGCTGCAGCATATGGGCGCCTAGCAAACCTCAGAACAGCATTCCGACATCTTAATAAGGAATCGTTTCAGGACCCTGTACACCGTATACGTTAGGCCCATATTGGAGTATGCGGCACCAGTTTGGAACCCACACCTAGCCAAGCACGTAAAGAAACTAAGAGAAGTGCAAAGGTTTGCAACAAGACTAGTCCCAGAGCTAAGAGGTATGTCCTACGAGGAGAGGTTAAGGGAAATCAACCTGACGACACTGGAGGACAGGAGAGATAGGGGGGACATGATAACGACATACAAAATACTGAGAGGAATTGACAAGGTGGACAAAAACAGGATGTTCCAGAGATTGGACACAGTAACAAGGGACACAGTTGGAAGCTAAAGACACAGATGAATCACAGGGATGTTAGGAAGTATTTCTTCAGCCACAGAGTAGTCAGTAAGTGGAATAGTTTGGGAAGCGATGTAGTGGAGGCAGGATCCATACATAGCTTTAAGCAGAGGTACGATAAAGCTCACGGCTCAGGGAGAGTGACCTAGTAGCGATCAGTGAAGGGGCGGGGCCAGGAGCTCGGACTCGACCCCCGCAACCTCAACTAGGTGAGTACAACTAGGTGAGTACACCAACACAGCCACACCAACACAGCCACACCAACACAGCCACACCAACACAGCACACCAACACAGCCACACCAACACAGTCACACCAACACAGTCACACCAACACAGCCACACCAACACAGCCACACCAACACAGCCACACCAACACAGTCACACCAACACAGTCACACCAACACAGCCACACCAACACAGTCACACCAACACAGTCACACCAACACAGCCACAACCAACACAGCCACACCAACACAGTCACACCAACACAGCCACACCAACACAGTCACACCAACACAGCCACACCAACACAGTCACACCAACACAGTCACACCAACACAGCCACACCAACACAGTCACACCAACACAGTCACACCAACACAGTCACACCAACACAGCCACACCAACACAGCCACACCAACACAGTCACACCAACACAGCCACACCAACACAGCCACACCAACACAGCCACACCAACACAGCCACACCAACACAGCCACAACCAACACAGCCACAACCAACACAGCCACACCAACACAGCCACACCAACACAGCCACACCAAACACAGCCACACCAACACAGCCACACCAACACAGTCACACAAACACAGCCACACCAACACAACCACACCAACACAGCCACACCAACACAGTCACACCAACACAGCCACACCAACACAGCCACACCAACACAGTCACACCAACACAGACACACACAACACAGCCACACCAACACAGCCACACCAACACAGTCACACCAACACAGCCACACCAACACAGCCACACC